ATCTTCCTCTGTTCCTCGGCCAGTGTTTGAGAAGAGAATGTTGAACAAGTCACGTTCTTGTCACTCCGAGTCAGAACTCTCATTTGACTTGGAAGATTTGTGCTTCCGTTTTTTCTTCTTTTTCTTTTCCTTCTTCCTTTTCTTATGCTTTTCTTTCCTCTTCTTTTTCTTGTGTTTCTCTTTACCTTCAGAGGAACTAGAGCTGCTCCCATCTTCATCCGAGGTAGAATCCTCCAGTAACTGTTTTAACTGCTGAATCCTAAACATTCAAGATTGATCAAAGAACAGTGAGTTTTAGCTTTAACTTAAAACAATTTCTTAAATATGTCATTCAAAAGCAATATGGGAGGATCATGAATAACCACGTCACAAAGACAGTACTTATTTTTATTTTTACCTGTTTATTTTTCTCCACTTGAATGCCTACTTTACATGACTGTAACCAGTGTACAAGCCATTTTGTATTCTTTTCATTGTCCGAAATATTTCTGCATGTTTCCACAGTCCTTACAACTGTAATTTCTAATAGCTGCATACTTACTAAACCATTCCCCTACTGCTCAGTTTCTAAATCTACATCTTTAACAGTTATAATTTGATGCCACCAATTTGAAAAAACAAACCCTCCAATTTTTTCCACCTCTCTCTAATCATGTCTAATTTTTTTTTTGAGACAGGGTCTTGCCCTGTCACCTAGGATGGAGTGCAGTGGTACAATCATGGCTCACTGCAGCCTAAACCTACTGGGGTCAAGCAGATCCTCCCACCTCATCCTCCCTAGTAGCTGGAACCATAGGTGTGTGCTGCCATACCTGGCTAATTTTTGTGTTTATATTTTTTTGTAAAGATGGGGTTTTGCCATGTGGCCCAGACTGGTCTCAAACTCCTGGACTTCTGCAGTCCGCTGGCCTTGGCCTCCCCAAGTATTAGGATTTACAGGTGTGAGCCACTGAGCCTGGCCTAAGTATAATTTTTAACAAAAGCTCAGATCCCGAAAGACACTGGAGAAAATAAACTGAATCACATGAAAGTATCAATTGTACTGTACAAGTAGACAGCACAACATGGGTTGCCAATATTACCTGCAGAGGCCAGAGGGCTAGACCAAGCCTACAGCTTTAAGCTAATCCAAGGAGGAGGAGGCTGGCCTGCTCATTCCCCAACACTGGTCTTTTCAGCCATGACTCCTGCACTCTACAAATTTTCACAATTGAAGCACCATGTTTACTATACCATTCCACTAACACTAGAATGGTTTTCTCCAACTTTATATAATTTTAAATCTTTAAGAGGATATTGTTACCATCAGGATGATCTCACCTTACATCCTTTTCATGTCGTTTATTGTCTCGTATGATGTCGTACATGGGATCTTCATGTGCCTTAAGGGTCAGAGAAGGTTAAGGTTTGGTCAGGCTTCATGGACCCCAAGTTAAATACAATTAAATCCTTATGTTATGGAATCCAGTTTATTTTTTTTTTTACTGTTTGATGTAGCTGCATGTTCAACATGTTCTAATCCTTATAAGGGTCACATCACTGAAAACTCATTAAGGCTAAAAAAAAGATTTTCCAATTAGAAAAATACAGGAAATGGCTACTTTCAGCACACTGCCTCTGGGGTAGCCCTGCTCTGCAGGAGCAGTCACGAAGCTGTAACACTGCCACCTCAAAAACAAACAAACAAAAATACAGGAAATAACCATCATCTAAAGAAGAAAATATATGGACACTTTACTCTTACAATTGAAAGATATGTACTCTTTAAAGACTGGGAAATTAAATCCCTGATTTTAGTTATGAAACATGACTTTTTACATAGTGAGTATCAAAAGGGGGTGCTGAACAGATAACAATGTCTGCTTCAGAAAAAAAAAACATCACCGTTCCAAGTTATAAGCAAACAACACTTTAGTAAGAATTCAGTTTCTTAAAGAGCTAATTTGTAGGCCGGGCGCGGTGGCTCAACCCTGTAATCCCAGCACTTTGGGAGGCCGAGGCGGGTGGATCACGAGGTCAAGAGATCGAGACCATCCTGGTCAACATGGTGAAATCCCGTCTCTACTAAAAATACAAAAAATTA